AGATGGGTAAACATTCAGAAAGTTTTATCAGTAAATTACACACTTGGTATGGAAATTGGTGTATTAATGCCTGACCTACTATAGTTGTCACACTTGAACACTTAATAGTTGAGGTGTGACCGGGGGGTAGTGGAAGGAGCCTGACCAGCCACGGGGTCCCTTCCCCAGCACCTGTGGTTGGTCTCTGTGGATGGGCTTTAGTCCTTCCACCTAACTGGGAGAACGTGTCTAAACTTTAGGGTTTTACCAACAAAATGGTAGATTTGCATCATTTGAGCTTGTGTAAAATCACAGAAAGCAGAGTTAAGAGTGGAAATTATGATACCAAGTCCTGTCACGGGCAAGATCTGTTACGACTCGCCTTTCTTATGCCTTACACACCCTAAAATCAATCCCTTTTAAACTCAATCTCTCTTATTGCCACAGTTTTTCAGGGCTTGTTGTCAAAATACATGGTATAGCAAGGCATGGGATTCTGGATTTCCTAATAAAATTTTGCTCAGTTAAACCAAATGCAAACCTGAAATAGGGAATCTGTGAAAATTATTCCGGTTTACCCTTTTCGATCAGTTGGGGTAAATCTTCTCAAGTCTTTGCCATTGTAAAAAGCAGGCTTAAACTAAAGACTTAACTTTTCAGTGTTCCCAACTTGAGACATGTAGGGCTTTCTTTTTGTGGGTATTTGGAGAACCCAAAAGTGCCAACTGCTCACGGAATTGCTGACTTAGTGACAAGACAATCAAAGGAGGAAGCATCTATCACTTGAGGCACATTTACACATTTCTTAGCTCCTGCTTAGGCTCTTTTACAAGTAGCTGGATATTACAAGCATTCAACACATAAATCCCTTTGAAAACCTAGTCCTGTGGGAACTGAGCCCTTGAAACTCTGCCCTGCTCTGTGTTCATATGGGTACCCCAAAGCACCCCTATTAGCACTTATTTTCATCTGGTTCATGTTGAGGCAAAACTCTGGCACATTTTGGATGGTCCAGGATCAAACTGAGTGCAGCATCACTCCAGCTGCAAATAGAAAGTAAGATGATAACAAACTTGACATCTGTTGTACCTACAAGTGTTTATTAAGGAATGAATATCGTATCACTTCTGTCACTTCAATTTACAATTAGAATTGCAACATTCCAAAACCTTTATTAGAACTCCTGAGGTTACATTCTAAATGGGTTTTGTATGTAGTTTGAAGAGTATAAAAATCCTCAAGGGGCTTGTACTTTTACTTTTCCTCCTTGTTCTTCCATCTAGAGCTGGACTAGCTTTATAGATATGGTTCTTACCTAATCTTTCCTGCTTTTTCTGGACAGTAATTGGACTTGACAGAGGCAAAGGTTTAAGTAGTATCTATCAGAATGTCTTCTAACCTGGAACAATTGAGTAACTTCCTCTGTGCCTCCCAGAATGTCCCATTTAATTCTAATCACTTGTAGTTCTTATAGCCTTGATCTCCAAGGATTTCCCAACATGACTCAGCTCAATCTTCAAAGAGGTGAAGAAGGTTTGGCAGCAGTTTGCAGTCAGAGGAACAGGCCTGTTGCAGTGCAGAACCAGCAGAGACCAGGAGTCCTGAACGTCAATCCCTGTGCTGCTCATGTTGGACAAGTGCAGTACTGAGGAACCAGTGAGGCAGGTGAGCAGAGACTATTTCTGCAATAAGCTTCTCCAGAAATAATGCTCCTAAAATCCCATGAATTTTTGTTAAATTTACTTGGCCTAAAGTCTAACATGGGTGTTTTCAGCAGCAGCAGACACGGGTGAATGGAAGATGCATCTTCCTGGAGAGCATGTGCTGTGTTAGTACAGGAGGAGGAGCAGCTGTCCCCCTGCAGTCTGCCTGAAATTTAATCCTGTAGGGTTTCTGAAAAAGAGAAGTTTGAAGCTTTTCTTTGAACAGTAACATCCAGGGACAAGCAGTGAGTGTGAACACACTGCAGTTGCTGGAGTCCAGGAGGAAGCTGAGTGAGACTGGGGTTGTTTGGTTGCAAAGAGCACAGTGAAATAATTCACACAACACATCTTGGAGAGAAGAAGTATTTTCTTTTTGCCAGAGGAAAATAAACGGGTGGAGAAAGAGGTAATTAAATGTTTTCCTAATAGTTCTGTCTTGTGGTTGGTTGACTTGAGTGCATATGGATGCTCAAGTTCCAAATGAAATTTTTCCTGCTTATTTTTTTTGGTAATGTAGAAAGATTTTTCTCTTTCTGGGTCTTTACTTTTGCTTTTTTTTTTTTCCTTTAATTGGGGCTCTTTAACCTCAAGTGAAGCATCTCTTTTCATGAGGCTTTGAAGAATGTATTGATCACTATCCTTATCTCTGAAACTAGTCCCAGATCCCAGCTCTGGTTGAGTTACCCTCACTATGTCCCCACTCTATGTCAGGATAGGACCCAATTACATACCTTTTACCACCACTTGCCACAAACTGCAGAGCTTTGGAGGAGGCCACTGCACACTCCAACAAGTCCCTTGGTGTGGATGATCAGAGGGACAGGACTGTGACCAAACCGAGGAAGGTATGATCACAAAAGCTTTGTATTCACAGGAAGTGAGGCTAATAAAATACAGATCTAATTCCTTTAGCTTTGAAAGGCACAAGATACTATTGTTTTATACTCCAGCTAAGCCAATTCTACAAAAACCAGAGCCTTTAAAAAGATAAACTAAATTTCTGGACATGCAAGGCCAAGTCTACATCTGGTGTGAATCCAGTAGAAACAGGGTGATGTGTGGGAAATGAGAAGCATTTTGATTCTGTAGCACAGAATCAAAGTGGAGATTAAAAAGACCATCTGAATTGGGCTGTTTTCCATTTCTGTTGCTTTTCTGGCCACAAAGAAGTTTGATTCTGCTGTGCCCTGAACGGTGGGAGTTTGCAGTGAATTACAGGCTCTGCTCCCCAGTGGAGTTCAACTCATGAACCACCCACTGCTTAATTCAATTAATCCAAGAAAGCCGAGTAAAGAGGTGGATTTGGGAAGCAGCTTTTTGGGTTGCTGAGACTAAACTCCAGTGCACTCACAGAAGAAAAGAATTACAGCACTGGGGACACTCTGCCTAGGCAAGTGGGAGAGCTGATTTCCTCTCTCCCAGGTGACTCTACCTGTAGGTGTTACAAAGTGAAGAGTTTGGTAACAGTTTCCATTGGACAAACGGTGAAACGACATCACCTTTAGATGAGTGCAACGAGAATGGTTCCAATGTGGAGAGCAAACCTGTGACCAGAAAAATTGTGTGTTCTTAACTGCAGGTGAAGGCCAGGGAAGCAGAAATCGCACACACCTTTGAGGAGGGACTCGGTGGCTCAGGACAGGGAGCCTTGGCCTCATTCAAAAGGCAAGTAACAGCCTTGTCCTTCTAAGCAAAAGGGAAGAGGAGAGCCAGAATTTACTGCTTGCACTTTATCTTCTTTTATTTCTACATTTGCCAGAGTTTTTCTACTGTTTTTCTCACTTTTTTTTTATTTGTTTAAAATAAAGTGTTCAGGGTTTCCTAATTTTTAAATGTTTATTTTCCTTCTGGCGAGATTGATGGGTCATTAGCATTGAGTATTAGTTCTGCAGCTATGAGTGTTTGTAGGCTTTGGTCCTTCCTCTTTAATGCAAAGCTTTTGGAGAAAATTTACATTCATCTAAGTATTACCATAAAGAGGTTGGTTAAAAATCCCAAACCAGTCATGGTCTTTGCTTCAAAAGTTATTCTGGAATGCAAGGAATTCAGTCTGGAACAATTACATTATTTGCAATGGTAACTTCTTAGCGAACCCTGGAATAGTTTATGTGGTTAAAAACCTTTTCAAGAGCAATTGAAAAATTATGTTATCCCATCTATTGTTTAAAGGATTCCATGTGGTACAGTTCTTTGAATATGTGGGAAGAAAATGAAGCCAAAAATGAAAATTTGGCAGGCAAAAATCGAAGTGCTTGCATTGGCCCTAAATCCAGATATATGCACATTAATGATCTCATTTGAAAGATGTCTATATTAAGATCTGAGAGCTCTCTGTGTTCCCAAGGGACAGGCTCATTGAATATTGTGATGTACCGTGAAACTAAACAGTTTTTCTTATTTCTTACCTCAAAATAACCAAGGAGTCAGAAAGTCATTCTGTGTGAGTAACAAAAGGGCACATTGAGAGCACAAGTCTTTTGGGTAACCTTGCTCAGCAATACATTAGAATTGCCACTTCAGGGAGACACAACTCTGCCTTGCACTTACACACTCCTTCACTGGAAGGTATAAAAATAAGCCAAATTCAGACTCACTATACCTGTATTAACAAAATTATCTGCACACACTTCAACTGCTGCAGTACCAAGTCCAGCACCTGTACTTAAGTCACTGCTGAAGGCAGATTTGGACAAAGGCTCCCTCCTGCCAGCTCTGTTATTGCAGCAGGACTTTGCAGTAGAGGAGAGCAGGCACCAGAGTCAGTCACCACACATTTATCACACCTCACCCAGCAAAGCCTGGTGTGGGCCAGCACTGGGACCTCAGAGGGACCTCTCTTGTTTTTCACTCTGTTCATGAGATTATACTTTTCTTTAAAAAACCTAAAATAGCAGCAGGAGGTTCTGCTTCTTGAGGCTGTTTTGCATAGAAGTGTTACATGCAGTAGTGTTTCTCTAACCAACAGACCATGTCAACAGTAGCATCCCGTGCATTCAACTTCCTGAGCTTGAGTCGACCAGTTCGTTAACATCAATGAGATGAGTCATGTCAGGTCTGCAAGACTGGGCCATTTATCTCATTTTCTTCCTCTGAGGCACAAGCAGATCAGATATCCCATAAATTGTAATGGTTTGCAATGCCCACTTGCCAAGAGAAGGAGGGAGTGTTGCAAGTACCATAAAATTCGTTGTCCCATGTGGGTCATATTAAGTGGTGTAGCCAAAAGATTTCCCTGTTAAGGCTTCAGCAGCAGTGCTCATTTTGGAGTGTTTTATTCATCCAGCCACTGTTAACCCTCAGTTTGTCCCTCTCAGAACTGCCTTTGGAGACATTTAGAAGAACAATACCCAAGAAATCTTTGTGTAAAGAGCAGACCAGGCAGCTGAAGAGACGCCACAGGATTTCAGAGGATCACCACATCTTTGCAAGTCCTTCAGCTGAACAAGCCCACCTTTTGAACAGTTGAATCCAGGTGGGATTACTGGAAGCTCCAAAAGTGTAGCTCAAGGCCTTCCTCCAGGTGGGACTCCACAGTGATTCCTGAGCCTTTTCTGAGGCTCTGCCAATTCCTGTATATCCAGAGGTGGTCCAGCCAAATAGTTGTCAGTACAAGTTAAAATCCCACATCTTAGGTCAGTGGGTACCCCCATATGGTCCAGCTGTTTCTCATCGATGCCATCCCATCCTTATGAATCCTTTTATTCCCTATTTTCCCTGATTTCTCCTAAGTGTTACAGTGGTCTCTCTATTTGCCTCTTTATTTCACTGGAGTGCCTTTTCCAGACCTATGTCCCTTAGATGCAGACACACAAAATATTTTGTTTTTCTGTGGCACCTTCCACGGGAGAAAGAGCCTTTTAGTAGAGTCAGAAGAGAGGGAATTATCTTGGATTTACAGGCTGAGCAGACCCAGAGACAAAGCCTGATTTCCCTGGGGATACACAAAAATCAGCAACAGGAAGGAAAAAACCTGGACATGTTATCTCCTACCTCCCTATAGCTTTCTTTTGTCATGAAGTGCATTTCCTTTCCTTATTCATCCCACCTTTAAAAAATACCAAAAATACTTCTGACCTTCTATGAAAAGTAGCTGAAGACAAACATCTGTTGTAAAATGAATATTTCTGAGCAGGTGAAAAGATCAAACAAACTCGTTTTCTAGAGAATCTCAGTTTGATTCTCTCAAAAATGTTTGCTGCTGAGATAGCTTCCCTGCCTGGCTCTTGCACCACTCAGGCAGCATCAAGAAGCTCCTTTCCCCTCTGAGACCACAGGAGGTTTCACATTACGTTTTTAACCTCCCTCGGATCATCTCCTCCGTGCACAATCCCAGTCACATTTACATGCAGACATAATGTCACTCAGCCCACTTTATGCCACTTAAATCTCTCTCGTTGCCATGGGGAGCATTGATAAGGAACCAATTAGCAAATAAAATATTTGAGGAGGGATGTGAAAGCCCCTACTCCGTGGATTTGTGTGTCACAGGCAGTGACATTTCATTTGGCATTTGTCCTTACCTGGCTGAGCTTCTTCCACTGCAATTTCAGCTACATTGTGTAGTCAAAACATGCCCTTCCCGCGGGATTTAGAGGCTTAGACGTGCAACACTATCTGACCCGGGGGAATTTTTACAGTTCTCAGGAGAAGAGGGATTGCTTGGAAAGCGCTTTTCCGCCATGGAAGTGCCAAGAGCACCATCCAGTGCCTGAGCGGAGTAAACACACAGGAACTCGATGGCGCTGGGACAAAGGCAGCTCTGCACATCCCACAGTCCAGCTACACGTGGTGGGGTGCACGAGGATTTAATAAAATACAGACGCTTACAGAAGGAACTTGGAAGGGAAGTCTGGCAAAGCGGTCAGCCTTTCAGGAGGACAGGAGGCAACCTGGAAGATCCCATCTTTTAAGCTAGAGCTGTAGTCTGAGTGGAGTTATTGATGATTTAGGGAGCAAAAGATGCAAGGGAGGAGGAAGAAGAGGTGGCAATAGATGGAGCCGGTTAAGAAAAGCAGGTAATTAAATCCATGATGGAAAGGAGCTGCTGCAGAGAGAGAAAATCGGGCCAGATCCTGCAATCCTTCCCCTTTGCAGAACTGAATCAGCAAAGAGAGACTAGGAAGGTGTGCTGGCAGCTGAGAAAATAAGGGAGAAGTGACCTCAGCTGCCACTGCCCAGTCCCAACAGCCTTGTATGGCTTGTCAAATGTGAGTAGTCCTGGATTTCGAGAATAAAAATTATTTGGAAAAAGATTTTGCACACATGTGGGCCATAAGTAATAGTAATTCTTACTACATATGGCTACAGGCTGTTGGTGGGCTAGAGAGAAGGAACTAATTGAAGAACAAGGAGTCCTTGGGGCTAAAAGTGGGCACAGGCAGAAATTAATGTTATCTGTAAAGAAGTGATACCCAAAAAGATGTCCAAGAAAAAGCATGCAGCTTTTCCATGGAGTGGTAGCTGTGCAACAGTGTATGGAAACTCTGTGTAAACAAGGAAACAGGAGTTTGGCATATTATGAACTGGATATTTATTAATCAGAGATACAGAGTGCTGCAGTTTAGCACAATATTTGTGGTAATTTGTCACTAACATGTTCTCCCTAAAATCAGACTTTGGGCACAGTATGGAAATGCTGTAATACAAGACAACTCCTCTGTTGTGTTCAGCTTCACATGTGTTTGCTCTTACTGTTTTTATATTGAACTTGCAGAGCAAAACTCACTTCTTTGATTAATATTGAGCAGTGTTTTGTTAGTGCCCTGTGGCAGAAGTGCCCAGATGGAGTGGGTTGAATACTGAAAAAATGAGAAGCATTTAGTGTTCTGTGGAGCTCTGTTAAAGGTGTCTGAATAGAACATCTGGTATCAAATCTTGGGATAAATCAGTTTGGACCTGCTCTGGGTCTGTGCTTTGTTCCAGCTTTACATTCCCTCTCTTCCTTCCTTGTTCCTAGGGCCAATAGATGATGGTTTATGGCCTGGTGCAACCCATTAAAGTGCCTTTGTTGGGGCTTGGCAATTAGTTGAGCAGAAAGAGTATAAAAATCACTTTGACATCTGTGGGGTTGAAATGGCAATGCTGACTTAAGATCTCCCTGAAAGGCTTTTTATCTGTCCTCAAGGTGAGGGAGAAAGAAGAAAGAGTGATTATCCAGAGACTTTGGGAAGATATTGCCTGAGAGTGTAACCCTCTTAGAGAGCTTTTGTGTGTATAAAACATGCCTGCCCACCACAGGGCCCTGATGTGGGCATGCAAGACCTCCCTGCCAGGGGAAATTATTGCTCTCCCACTGCTCAGCACTGCCACATCCCTCTGCCAGTCCTGCTTTGTGGGCAAGAACAACTCCTGCAGATTTGAAGAGTGAGGAAGGAAGACGGAGCCGTTGGGGTGTCGTGTGACTGACACCACACAGCAGATGGAGGTGCCCATCCTTCAGTCCTGCAACACATTCCACAGCCCCAGCCTCCCCAAACACATCCCACTGCTGGGAACAGCGAGGAAGGGCAGGCTCACGTGGTTTTCACATCAAGAACTGGGACTGCAGAGGCGAATCAGGTGCTGAGGCACATGGACACCTAATTTAGAGTGTTTGAGATGGACTCCTTGCACTTCAGGAAGTGTTTCAGCTGAGTACCCAGAGCTCCCAAATACCCTTTGGATATTTGGCTCCACTCTTGGGCAGATTTGCATGAGTGGTGTTTTTAGCTGCTCGTGTGAGTGGTGTTTTTACCTCCAAATTTTACCAAATTTCCCTGCTCAGAGGCTCTGACTCCCAGAACTATGACCAAAGCCATGAAAGAACACCAAATGGGAATCCCTAAATTGCATTCAGAGTATTCTGAAGCAACTCCTTCCTGAGTAGTAACCAAGAAAATTGTCTCACAGTGTAACATTTTATGCTATTGAGAAAATAAGATATTTTGAGTTATATTCCTTTAAGATGTCTTGCTGTGTTTAAAGGGCTGATTTTCTTCTCTTTTTGTTTTGTTTTCAGGCTTGATACATCAACCAAACTTCAGAGGAGTTGTTCTTGCCTCACACCAATGTTGAGACGAAAGAGAAGCAAGTTATTCATGTTTTAATGTTGTTTTGTGCCAGATGTTTTGCTGGTAGAAATCCATAGCTCCACAGGCACCCATTTCTTCAGGATCTGGAATGTCTGACACAATTTCTGTCTCCATTCTGGACGGTCTGTGAAGGAAGCTGCTTTATTTTGCAATATTGAATATTCATGCTGGGAAGTTATAAGGAAAAACAAAATAATGAGAGACAGGGTCTCTAATAAGCTTCCTGTCACATGAGGCTCTGGTTCTGGTGAAGCAGATGTGGTTGCTGACTTGTTTCCAAAATGTTTGTGGAGTGGTGATTAGATTCTGTCATACTGATGTTATATCTCTGTGATCTCATTCAATACAAGTAGTTCTGCAAACAGTGAAATATTTTTTTCCTACGGATTTATATCTTGGATTGTGTTTCTGCATAAATTCTCTGATGTTTAATGGGGATTGAGTTCATTTTAGCCTGTTTCTTCAATGAGAGATGAGTAATCTGTCTTGACTTGGCTGCCTACTTTCACAAAACTTGCAGGAATTAAATATCACAAGTATTTAAAATTCGAGTGGGAATTATGAACCAGTTCCAGAGTTATTTGGAGCCAACTCATATAAACAAACATAAACATGAGTCTCATTTTCTTTACAAAAGCAACAGGTAAGAAGCAATCTTTTATTACTTCGTCCTTCTATTTTACCTGCTTGATTCTATTTTTTTATTAGTGATCAATCATATAAGATATGCTTTATTTATAAAGCTGTGTGAAATATGAGACTTGTTTGCCACACTGAATAGATATAAAACCATCATTAATTTATACTTATTATGGGCCACACAAGAGATGACATTGCTTTTTATTGTCCTTGCCGGAGCAGGGGAAAGAGGTGACATGGATTTTAACTTACATGTTTGCACAGGCAAGTGCAGAGAAAGAACATTATTTTTCCTTTAGAATTCTCACAGTTCTGGTTTGGAAAGGGAGAAAGGAAACCTAGAATTGAAAATGATCTTTTGTGTTGCTGAGTCCAGTCTTCTGCTTCTGCAGAGAGCCAAGTTCCCAGTCTTTTTCATAAAACAGGATGTGCTATTCAAAAATATGCTCCTTTCTCTTTGTCATCCCTCCTATCCTCCCAGTTTCCCACTTTCTTTGGGTGTTTGCTCCAGAATTTACTTCCTTTGATAGGAAGAAACCCTTTAATTTCCATAATCAGTTTATGCATGTTTGCTCTTGTTCTGTGTTGTTCTATGTTCTTGTTCTTCTTTCCTAAAAAGTTCATTCCTGTAGGTAGCCATGTCTGTATAGGGAATAAGGAAAGAAGACCCTTCCAAGAGGACAGAAAATCTACACAAATCTGTTGGAAACGAGGCTTCAACAGCACTTAGCATAAAATGTTTGTATGTCTAATACTCCCAGGTTTTTCTGGGACTGGCAAATGAATTATTTAGCAATGGAAACTGCACATGCATCTGCTTGGCTTCTGTGGGTTCATGTTATAGAAAACTGTAGGAGCGTTGCAGAGATCACAACTACCCAACTTTGTGTCATAGACCCTGTGTCTTCACAGGCCTCAGAAATTCCCACTTAGCTGAGTAGAGGAGAACAGAGTGGCAAGTCTCTGCTTTTATTGCTAATGCTTTGTAAAATAACCTTTATGGTCTGTAGGTTCAGTCCTGTGCAGGTCTGTGTGACTTAGGATTTATTACACTGCATTTCATATTTGTGCATCTCTCTCCAGTTCCTGTAGAGGAAAGAAATGAAAGGTCTAAAAGGTTAGCTTGGTGTTAATAGATCGAGATATACCCAATATTTAACTTCCCTGGACAAAGGAACTGCTTCAAGGGCTGGCTTGTCCTGTTACAGTGTGACAGTGTCAGCCCTGTGTGCTGCAAACCTTCACCCAACCTTAGAAATAAAAAATAAAAAAGCCAAGTGTCTGCTCAATGGAAAACAGATGGAGTTTTCATTAGACATTACTTTTAATGATCTGCTTTAAAAGTAAAGATACACCATTCCAAGCAGAAGAAGGGCCTCCTAATAGCTCTGTTTGGGTCCCAGGCTCATTATCTGAGCTACAGATAAGCAAGATTGCAAGACCTTTGAATCATTGGAACCTCCAGTTAAGCTTGCCGACCATTATTAGAATTCCAAACACAGCAGAACTATTTTGGAGCCTTACCAATATTTTTTCCTGAAGATGTATCTTTATTTAATGATTCAGAGTTATTATGATGGGCCTGGCAGTCAGTTGCTCGGTTTCTGGAGTATTACCATTTAACCTAGGTCAGGATAAAAATCTGGGAATATTCATTGCAGGGCAGACCTTTTGCATCTTTGAGGGCCTGTTCTTCACAGTCCACCTTGGTGTGACTCCCCCAAATGGTGTTGCTGGCTGTGAGAGGTGACCCCAGCAGTCTAGAAAGCCTGAAGATCCTTCCTAAAAAGATAAAGCCTGCATTCTGTGCCTGTAGGTACTAAATCAACTTTTGGCATGTGAAGAACAATGCAATCCCAGGGTTTTAGGCATAGATGGCTGCTGCCAAACCACAAGAAATGCTTTTGTCTGGAACTCATGGAGCAGTAACATAGCAATGGAGGGTGTACCCTTGTCTGTTATTCCCTCTGAGCAAATTCTCAGAGACATGTTACCAGGATTCAGATAGATTTCATGGAACTAGGAGAGAAATGGGCTTTAATTTTCTTATAAAGGGAGGAAGAGACAATAGAACTCAGCAAAACATGTGGCAAGTTTTGTTTCTGTCTGAGAGTTATGCAAGCAAAAGCCAGTGCCCATCCTCAGACAGCACTCTCCCAAGTGAGACTCACGTGAGGGAACTTGTGTTACTTTTCTTCTTAAAGCCTTCAAAATTGCTTTATTTCCTCTGCATATGTGTAAATACAGCCTATGTCTTCAACTGATCTCCAGCTGGTGAGTATGAGTCAGAATCCAAACTTCTCAAAGTTCAAGGAAATTTAGAGCTGATGTTCTGGTTCACTGTCACCTCTGTAGAAAAATACCTGCATGAATAATGAGAAATAAGCCTCTTGTTTTCATAAGAGGGACCAGAAGGATCAAGTTCAGCAAAAGTCTATCACAAACTGTTAATTAAGCACTGTTCTGAAACCAGGTTTTTCCCACTCTGTTAGAAACCTTCTTCAATTTCCAGACTAGAGTTATTAGTGGCTGCTTTGTTCACATATATTAATGTGCCAAAGCTGTCTTTTAGTTTAGATTATACACAAACAGAATGTGAGTATTAGGTTTCCTCTGCTTTTTGTCTCTTTCAGGGCAAAAGAAAAAGAAGAGCTTAAATACAAGGTCACCTTGTGTTCAAGGTCCAGTTACTTCCTCACACAATTGAAGGGTGGGGGGAGAACAAGCAAAAGGAGCAGATGACAAAGATGACAAGAGGGCTTTATATTTAGGTTTGTGTACCTTAGAATGATCCAGCAACAGCATCCCTCCTCCTGTTATCTTATGTCCAAGTAAATACAGTTAATTTTCTTTCTTTGGGTTATATTTGCAGAAATCAAGCAAATGCCTTCTCTCCCTGTGTTACTAGAGTGTCTTGGGATCCAGTTTTTGAGAAAATGTGTTTATTCTCTTTCATTGTACCCCTATTTTATGCCTTCAACTTGGAGCATAGATATGCTCCTCCCCTTGTTCTCCTTATATGTCCCAGTTTACGTACTCCGCCCTTGCTCCTTCCCAATTGCTCCCCTTGTTCCAGCAAGTTCTGCTCCTGCCCCATAAAAGGCAGGAGCCACGTTAATAAAGTGTTCCATTTTGCACCCTACATCGAAGTGTGCGAGCCCTCGTTCCTCTCGGGCTGTCGAGGACGCCGAGAGAGCCTGTTTGCCACAAGAGTGAAAAAACAATACAATTGTTTCTTTCTTCTTGTCTCATTGAGTGGCCTTTGCCTGGTTTAGTGTAGCTTTGTGAGCGTGGGTTGCACAAGCCAGTTCCATCATCCTGGTGATTACAGCACGAGGTGAGAGGTTTCAGATACTCCTGGTTATGAAGAAATGATTTTCAGAGGACGAACTCTCAGCAAATTCCAAGCAGGTGCCTTTCAGAGGTGTTTAGTTACGCAAACCTCAGTCACTCAGGGGGGAATCTTGTCCTAAGTGAATAACATAAGATGGATCAGTGTGAAAATCCACACCTGGAAGATGCTTCCTAAAGCAGCTCCATGTCAGCACCCTGCAGATTTGAAACTGAGGGTGCAAACCCCCAGCCTGGATGGACACTGTGCAGGGTGGTGGCCTCTGTGACTCCCTCGAGTCACTTGGCAGCGCAATAATGGAAACGGGAACGTGGGATTTCTTCTGTCTATTGTGTCCATTGGAACAATGCTGCTGAGAGCAACTGGGACCAAAGGCCTGGCCTTCAAAATAGCTGACTTGAAAAGAAAGCTGCATTTTTTTGGTAAGGTCCAAATGTGTTTCATTCAGCTTTGCTGCTACTCCCAGAGCTGAGTTGTAAAAAAGTCACACATCTGTGACTGTTTTCGTCATCCCAAGCAGTTTTTGGCTTCATTATGTTCTGGGTGTGCAGAAAAGAGCTTGTAAGAGCAAACCCTTAACTGAAGAGCTTAAATGTCTTGAATCACCAGCCTGCAGGGTAGCCATGGTCTTCAACTTTATAGATATAAACCTGAAGTCTTAAAATTCTGCATTTCTAGCCCTGCACAGTTCTCATTCAGACTGCTCCCCATCAAATTTCCATGCTGACTCCATGTCCAGGCAGGTCAACTGTCCAAAGGAATGATGGACCAAGTGCTTTCATGGGAGACAAGTGTGAACTCGAGTAGAGCTCACCAATAGCTATAAAGTTTTTTGAAGCTACACAGCAATAAAACTTTGAAAATAATTTCAGTACATCCTAAATAAAGGGATGTAAGATGTCAGGATTATCAATATTTAATGCCAAGTGACAAAATAATGTTGCACCTCAATAATTCCTGTTGAAGTAATGGCTTGTTTTCTCACTGCACAGTTGGCATATCCTGGAGTCTTTGGATTCTGCACTGTGGAGGCTGAATGTGTTTGAATTAATTAATTAATATTTAAAATGTTCTATGCCCCTCATTCCGGCCTCAGTTCCCCAAAGCATGACAGTGCAGGTGATCACAGAAAAGCCACTGGAACAAATAGCTACTGAATTCCAGTGTGGTCAAGGATCCACAGAAAGGACAGGGAACTTGGAGACTCCCAGTTTGTGCAGTTGATCCAGAGCAGGGGTTTGGGGCCCGTGGCTGCTGCCAGGATGAGAAGGGGACACGAAGGGGACACTGAGAGCCTGAGGACACCTAGAGAAGGCCACATGTGTCTGGAGAAGTTGGCAGGCTTCCCTAGTTCTCTGCCTTCCCTTCCCCTTCTTGGAAAGTCCATCCAAAAAAGCCTTTCCAAACTTCCCAGCATGGTGGGCAGGTCCTCAGTGTGGAAGAGTAAAACAGAGTGCTTTTGCTGCAAACTTGCTGTCCCCTTCTGCTCCTGAATTGTTCCTACTCGTGGTTAAACCCGTGCCTTGCCAGCCGACTGCCGTGGAACTTGTGGCTGATTTCCACGTGCTCCCACTTTCCTTTACACTTTTCTGAGCAGTTCTTTGGCCTCTCAAAAAGCATGGACAGAGCACAGGACAGTCACTTCCCAACCACATGGCTTCAGGCACACAGACAGACCTGCACACCCCAAGGAGTAACTCTGGGATGGGGCGTCCTTGGGGGCTCTGCAGACTGACAGCACAAAAGGGCGGGTTGGGAAGGGCAGACAGAGACCTAACTCTGCTCAGCTGGCATTCTCATACCTCCCTTCTAAGTAGGTGGTTCTGATGGCCTGTTTCATAAATCATTATTGAAAGATACTTCTGAATAAATACTTTCTCTTCTCCAGTACTAAGGATTAATTTTGCATGAGTGTGTGTTTACTCTGTTCTTCAGCAGTGACAGAAATTACTCTCTTGGCCAGATTTTACGAATGATGTTCCCCATTTATTGCATATTATGACCTTTTTGGATGATACAAAGTCAAGTCTATGGATCTGTCTTTCTTATTTTTCTTCTCTAATGAACAGTGTGTTGCAGTATAAAGACACCTGTAATTTACATCCTTTATTTGAGATTAAAGTAAGCTCATGATTAACATATTATATGAAGCAAGGTGGTGAACAGGAGAGTTCATTGACTTTTCAACCCTGGAATCACCCAAACACTGTTTTACATTCCAAATAAAATATTTGCTGGGTTTCACACCAGTCTTTTACCAGTGCGTATCACAATGTTGCTGTTGGGAAAAACTGAATTTATTAAGGCAATATATTTTAAAAATTGGCTCCAGCACCACACAGCTGGCAACAAGGAAAAAGTAATCTAAGGCAGCATGTAAAAAACTGTTCTTTAGTTAGATTGTGAATTTTCCAATAACTGCCTCCAACAGACCACCCTATGACACTGATTGCAAGCACATAAAGCCTGATGGTTCCAAAGCCATATAAATAAAACGTGGATGTTGAAATGCCAACCTCCCACTATTCGCCTCCAACCTTTTCATCTCTTCACTGCTTATTTTGCTTTTTTTCTTTCCTGGTGTCCTTCCTCTCACTGATGTTTTCCTTCAGTACCACCTCCCTCTTTGCCTCCCAGAACCAAGAGGAGGTTTCAGCTCTAATGGCAGAGCAGGAGCCAGCAGGCGATGGAAAGGAGCTGGGGCAGATTTGGTGAGCACATCAAGCCCCCAAAAAGCAGAAGAGTGCAGGTTATTTGTGTGTGCACACAACTTCACACACCCAGTGCCCACCTGAGCAAACCAGTTCTAAACTCGAGCCTAGCTCAGTATGGTTCACAGTGTTATTGGTAGCCATGAGTTTGATGACCTGGAGCTGTTCTAAGATCTTTTAATTTTTCACCTCCCACGCCACTGCATAAGGACAGGCCACTCATCACTCAGAAAAGAGCTATGAAAATAATAAAACCAGATTAATTAACGTGGAAGAAAACCCAAGAAGCTCTCAATCCTGTTGTCTGGAACTAAAATACATCTGGTACTTCCTGGTTTATAACATACTTTGTGTAAAGGCTGTTTACTCAGTGTTGGTGTCAATTCTTTGGCTGTTTGGGTTGGTGACAAGTTTTTGTAAATGTCTCTTGTTAGACCTAAGTAGGGTGAAATGTTTATCTCTTGTTTTCCTTACTAAAAATTAAGCAAGTTGTTAAGAGTTTCACAAAACTGTAATTAACTTTCCCTTTGCGAACAGAACATTTTAAAAATGTTTTTATTGCCTTAGTAATGAGTGTTACAAAAAATGTCTTCCACAGCAAAACACACTAATAACAGGGATGAGTGCAAACCAAACAAGTCAAAGTAAATTATCTACGAAACCACTTATTTTAATGCAACAGGGAACAGTAATAAAAGTTTCGAAACAGCTTTTCCTCCTTTGAGAAAGCAGAACTATTTTTTTCTCTGTTGGAGCTCCTGACATAGGTCAAAATATTGCACTACACTGAGATTTCAATTCTTTTCCTCCCAGAGGGACCTAAACATTGTCCTCACAACATGTGTATTTTGTTGGAATAGAAGAAAAACCTAGCCCTGAGAAGGACTGCAACCAGCTCTGTCAGGCCAAGGCAACGGCTGTGCAGGAAGGACATAAAAAAACGTGGATTCCACACCACAACTACTCTCAGATCTCTATTCAGTCAGTGTGTACTGACTTCCAAGGGCATAACTTGCCCAGGAACCCAGCCAACATGAGCCCCTTACTCAGATGCTTCAGCACAACTCCACAAATCTCCTGTTCTGTCAGGCCTCGTTCCCTGACCCCTCTGCACAAAGGGCTTCTGTGAGGGATGACCCAAACCTTTCTCTTTTGGTCCACACCAACATATTAAAAAATACCTTCCTGTACTTCTGATGCCAAAGTGCAGCTGTAAAGTTACCCAGATTCCTGGATGTGCAGCCCTCTCCTTGGCACCACAGCTCACCTGATGTCAGCACTTCTTTCCAGGCTGAAGTGTTTATAGGCTGGCAAATTCTCCTTGTGAGGACCCATTCACAGGCTTACAAGGGGGAAACTATAGTTTTTTCTTCCCTGTTCAGTACTTCTTTTTAATGTTATGAGATAATTGACATTTCTTCCCTCTCTCTGCTCTCATTCATTATGGTGATAATGCTTCTGAAGTATTTCATGAATTCCATCCGAACATCTTCAGGATCTTCCTCCAAGTTGGAATGTATTAGTTTTAGTTTGTTCAGCGGGTAAGCTTTGAAAGTAAATAAAAAACAATTAAGTATATTCCTTTTAAAAAAAGAAATAGTCACGAAGTCATGGGACAGCTCATGTTGGAGTCAGCTGGGATTCAGTAGTACCCAATGTTTGATACCACAAACAAAACATGAAGAAGAAATGCAGCAGAGCTTGTCAGCTTTACAAACAAATCCAGCTTACTGCTAAATTAAATTCTTCAAACAGTATTATTAAAGCTTAAAGTCTGGTTTTGGAGTCATATTCAGTTAGACAGAATCAAACAATTCAGTACCAAACTACAGTTTTACTGCTGAAGTGATATGACATTTTTTGATTACTTCAGAGTTATGGAATCATACAGTTATATTAAATATGTATTAATATATTAATACTTGTAACAAATATGTAGTTGTTTGAACACTGGAACAGGTTGCCCAGAGCGTGTGTTTTCACTGATATAAACAGCCACAAATAATTTTGCAGTATATAAGGCACTGATTTTAAAAGGGAGATCATTAGCCTCTTATTTCAAAGGGCTCCTGTTCTTTTGATTGGTAGAATCCAGACTTAAATGGCCTCAAAAGTTAACAAAAAACCATCCAATGGAAGAACCAACTACTGATGAGGAAATATGGCAGGAGTTCTAATTCCTGGCTCAGCTGCAAAGTTACTGTGTGACCTTAGAGAAGCCACTCGAAACT